CATTGGAAAGAAAACTTCCGGGGCTTCAATTTGGATACAATAATGACCTGAAAAGGGTTCATATGAAGGAGTTATGACCATTTGAAGTTGGACCTGGAAAGCTGAATTTTCCTAAACTAGCTGGCCGACCCGAAAAGGTGGTTGGCCGACCACCCTCTCCTGAAAAAGTGGTCGGCCGACTTGAAAAAGTGGCTGGCTGACCAGAAAAGTGGTCTACAGGTGCCAAACTTAGATATTTATCCTCCAGCTGTCTTCCACAACCTCCAGCTGTTCCAAACTCAGATTTTTTTAAACCAACTCTTATATATGGTTATATATGAGTTATATCTCTCATTTTTAAGGACAATCTTCCTAAGCAAATTTTGGGAGCTTCTCACTCTAAAAAATCCCTCTCTCACTAGAAATTCCAGAGCCAAATCTCTGCCTCTCTCTCTTTCTCTTGCCTTTGTGTGCATAGCAAGAGCTATACTTGGAGATATACCTCTCATTTGCCAAGGCACCCTTGATCAAACTCAACTACCATTGGGCTGAGGTTTTTTTAGGATCATTTTGAGCTCCAAAATTTGGTTTTAGCTCAGAGTTTGGACCCCTTTTGCTGCTGTCTTCTTGAGCTTCAAGGGTAACACACCATTTCCCTCTTTTAAGCATTGTTTTTCATCATATCTTAGCCCTACTTGTGAGCATTTTCGAGATTTGTCATAAACTTAAAAAAGTTTCCTTTTGAGCTTATAAACATGTTTACTTAAGGTCACTTTTCTGTTTGGGGTCACCTTCCCCTTTGTATGCTTCATTCCCTCATGCTTGGGGCTATGCATTAGAGCATTTGCATTGGCCTTGGTTTGGCCTTTTAGCCACTGAAATCCAGTGGATTTTCAGTGGCTTAGATGTGTCTTTGAGCCCTAAAATCAGAGGGGGGTGACCTCCTCTCTCCTTGTCATGTTTGTTGGCCTTTTTGGCCTTCCAAAGGGGCTCTATCTTGCATGCTTTGAAGTCTTGTTTCAGGCCCTATTATATGAGTTTTGAGGTCTGCCTTAGCTCTGTTCGGAGCCCCTTTGGCCATATTTTATGTCTATGATGCATGTGTAGAACAATTCCATTCAAGGCCTTTCAAAGGGGCCTTTCATTGCATGCTTCCTAGACCAATTTCAGGCTCTTTTTGGTGAGTTTTAGGGCTGTCATAACTTATTTCCAGAGGTGTTTTTGCCCTTTTGTTTGTCTATCATGTATGTGTAGAACAACCCCTCACATGGCTTTCCAAAGGGGCTCATCATTCTTGCATGTGTTGATTGAGTTTCAGGGGTTATTTGGGCATATTTTGGCATGAAATACTTTTGTTTTTGGCTGGTTGGGTGAGCCCTCATATGCTTCATATAGTTGTAGAACAACTCATGGTTCACTAGCTTTCTTTGCATGCTTTATAGGCCATTAATTCTAGCATATTTTGGCCATGCCTTAAACTGATAATGTGCTTATTTTGGACTGCCCTAGCTCTATTTTTGGGTCTTATGGTTGAATGATATTAGTTTTGCATTCTTGTAGTTCAAGGTCCATGCTTAGCTTTGAGTTTTGAGATCCATTCCATGCATATACTGAGGTGTGTTCATGTTTTGAGCCTATTATTCATCACATTTCAGAGCTTGTTTGAATGCCATGTTGTTATGTTTTATACTCTTTAAATTCGTTTGAGAGTCGGGCTTGTATGCCTCATTTACCGACCATTGAATGAGCTCCATTTCGTTGCATTCCGAGCCATCATTTTAGGCCATTTCCCCACTGTTTCAGACCTGCCTAGGGTCTGTTTGGGGTTGATTTTTCCATTAGTGCATTGTTTTGGGTACCTCTAGAGTAACGCATTTCACTAGTTTCGGTACCCGGGCCCCCTAGCTTGCATTGTGTGCCATGTTTGCATGTTTCGGGACCATTTTGTATCATGTTTCAGAGCTAGAATTTGTGTGTTTGTATGCTATATTGCATCCTTTTCCATGCTTTGGTAGAGTGACATTCGATGCCTTAGGATCGATCCCTTGCATCGTGCATGTTTGCATGTGTTTCGGTTATCTCATTTCCATCATATGGCCACTGATGTAAGTGTGGCTGAGGTCCACTCATGCTGGTGTAAGTCCATCGTGCATTGTGTATTCCATTTCGGTCCATAGCATTGCGTATGCTAGGTCGCATGTTAGAGCATTGTGTATGCCATTTCATAGCATTGCGTATGCTAGGTTGTATATTAGTCGCATTGTGTATGCCATCTCATTTGCATTGTGTTTGGGATAGGAGTTAACCCAAGCATGGGAAACGAGGGATGTTTCATACTTCGAGTGACAGAACGTGTCTCTATTTCCGGTCGCCGACACTCCGAATTACCCATGATGGAGTTTAGGTCTTGTTGCGTTTTCATGTGCATTCATTTCACATCGAGTCGTGCAATTCGACTCCTCGGCCATCAAGCATCGAGATGCGTGATTGGTGGCACGAGGATCGAGGACTACACTCCCTGAAGAGTAGTCATGCATACATATGTGAAAATACTTTGCTGTGCCCCTTTCTTGCTCTCTGTTACAGCAAATCAGAAATCAACAGCCTTCCAGAGCCTTGCATAGCATTCCGGGATTAATTGCAAACAGAGGCGAATCGGGGCATCGTGATGGATTTCCGCACCAGGCAACTCAAGCATGCATCTTTCATAATTCGGAACAGAGCTGAGGTGGTCCATAAGCTTGCATACTAGTTTATTCGCTTTCCTAGTTAATTTGTTAATTAATTAGGGTTTTGTAATATTTAATTATTTATTCGGACTGTATTATTCTTTCGGACCCTCCGAGCGAGGGCACAATTGTAATAAGTGTACGTGTGTGTGATCTATGTCTTCCAACCCCACGTCTTTCTCCTTTTTATTTACCAGCTTATGATGGTTAGTTTAGGGCATGTTTCAATTAGCATACTTATGCTCGCATGTTTGCATCTATTCATCTGTCTTGCATGCACTGGGCTCGGCGCATCATATTAACTGCATTTGTATTTCAATTCCGAGTTGAATACTTGTTAGCTGTAGCATTTCACATGTCATTTTAGAATAGCCGAGCCTATTGTAGTTGCATTTTTGCATGTGTTGCATTAGGCATTTCTGTATAGTTAGGATCATGCATGGATTTCTAACCTAGTTTCTGTTTTGGCTCGGAGTACTAGGTAAGTTTTTACGCTTTAGCATCTTGCATGCGTGTGAATGTTGCCATGATAGCATGTTTACCATAAGGATATATGCTTATATGATATAACTGCCTGAATGCCTGTGGGTGAACGTTGGATTATCTAAATTGGAATAATGCATTGACTGTGAGTTTTAAGCCCACTAGATAGTGGCAAAACCATGTTTTCTAAGCCCACACGAGGGTGGCAAAATTTGCATTTTTAGCCTACTTGCGAGTAGTAAATCGCTTTCAAAAACAAACATGAAACGTGTTCTATACCGCGTTGTGATTCACGTGGTATATTTGGTTGCTCAAAACCATTATCGAGTGAATGGGAAATTGAAACCAAAGTGTGCTCCGTGGAAATAGAGTTTTTGTGGAAATTCCTTAAGGTTTGTGTAAATGACTTGTCCCACATTGATTTGGTGGGAAGTTTTGAATGGGTTTATATAGCTTGGAATTATAACTTTGGGAGGGCCCCAAGGGGCACCCCAAGTTTGTAGAAGGGAGAGGTTATGGGCAAAGTGGGCTAGACCCATTGGACCCAAAAATCACCACACGCACGCGCGCGTCGCCGGTTGGTCGGGCGGGCTGGGTTGGGCTTGGGCGCAGGTGCGTGGTGTGAGGTTGGGCTTGTCTGGCCCAATACTAATCTTTTTGGGCAAAAAACATTTGAGTTTATTTGATTTATTTTGAAATAAAATCTGTCCGTTTTTATTTCAAAATTCTTGTTGGAAATTAAATTCAAATTTTGTAATTGCACCTCTTCAGAATTTCTGTCCAAATCGTATCTGTTCTACCCAGACAGATTTCAAATCTGTTTAATTTTCAAATTCAAATAGATTCAGTTTTCTGTCCAATTCAAACCCAATAGGTACAGTACCTGTTTAATTCAAAGTTAAAGGGTGCCATTACTTCTATAAATAGATCAGCCCTCATTTGATGTTTGATTCAACAATTTTCGTGCTTCTCTCTTTTGCTATAATTCTCTGTATTTTGTTGCATTTAATTTCTGTAAGAAAGAGTTTAAATACATAGTGTGTTCGTTGGGAAAACAATTTTGTAGTGCTACTATTGTTTGCTGTTGATCATTTTATTTTGGGAGATAGACGTCTATATTCTAAAAGTACCGTGGAGATGACGAATCTGTCTTAAGGACACAGTGTCGAACACTGGACTTGATCAAAATTATTATTCAAGAATTAATCAATTAAGTTATTTAATTTATTTTCGGTGTTATTATTATTTATTTAAATCAGATTTTAATTTTGTTTTTGTAACAAAATAAAATCTATTTTTTATTTATTTATTTTTTATTTCTAGTTTGATTTTTGTAATCAAACAAATTCTTTCATTTCCTTTATTTCTTTTATATTCTAGTTGTTGTTAAGTACACAACATAATTTAATTTATTTAAATACAATAAAGATTGGTTTATGCCGTAAAAAAATCAAGAAGCACCCACAAATATTGATGAATTGGTTTATGCTGTAGAAAAATCGTTCGAAGAATTATCAAGGGAAACTCTTGATCATGTATTTGTAACCTTGCAAGCATGTATGTTAGAGGTGATGAAAATCAATAGTAGAAACAATTACAAATTGCCACAAATGGCAAAGAGAAAACTGATGAGAGATGGTACTTTGCCTTGCCAAATTCAATGTGAACCTTATGTTGTTGAAAATGCTTTGGCCTATCTCCATTTAAGTTCAGATGAGTTTTTGGATCTCTCTCTCTCTGTTTTTTGTTTGTCTATATGTAGCATGAAAGATTAAGTTTTCTTTCACTGAGTTACTTTTTTTTTTTCAGGGGCTTCAGAATTTTTTGGGTGAATTCTTAGTTAGGAACTCTGCTGATGGAGAACAATTTTTGTTGGTGAATTTTGTCACTTAACTAAATGCTTCTTTGATGGTGTTGCTGTTGAAGAAATCATTTGTGAGTTTGCAATGCTAAATGTAAATGGCAGTGGTGGTGAGAATTGAAACTCCATGTATCAGTACTTCTTGTTGTTGTTTTTGCTTCCTTTTGATGTATATATTCCTTTTGAAATGTAATGAAATACAGTAGTACAGTAATTTCGTTATTTTTTTATATTTTTTATTTATTTTAAATATCAATTGTCATTACTCAAAAAGTTAAAAAATTATCACTATTCATCAAAAAAAATATTAAAAAAATAATTTTACACAAAATAAAATTTCAAACAACTCTGATGTGGGACAGACAGAGCTCACTTTTTGGAAACGAGCTTCTATTTAGGTGCACTAATAACTCAGTGTTGTTCAGCCCGTGGGGACCCATCATGGGTCCCGTTTTAATAATCTGAACCGTTCAATGTATAGAAATTGTCGAGTACTATATGCTTGTGGAAAATCACGTTGATCAGATATCGGTAACTATATGATCAAATTAGTTAAATTTTATAAAATGGATGGTGTTATAGTTAACGGTTGAAAACAAACTAATCCAATGAGATAGCTATCGACATCCGATCAACGTAATTTTTTACAAGAAGATAGTACTTGACGAGTTCTACATATTGAACGGTTTTGATTAGCAAAACGGGACCCGTGGTGGGTCCCCACAGGCCGTACAACACCTCCGATTCAATGCTCGAAAAACAAGGAAACATGTCCCAACCTCTACTCTACCAACGCTGTCCCTGCATTCAGCCCACCGTACCACCTATTCCATCCAATCTTCTCATACACATTAATTTATACAATTTTTAAATACACATTTTTTTCGTAAAAAGCTAAAAAGTTATTCCAAACAACCATTTTTTTTTTCCCAACTTTTTAGTCCAAAAAGCCAAAAAGTGGACTTATTTAGGGCAACCCAAAAAAGAATTAATAAAAACTTGTTTGGTATAATATCTGAAAATAACAAAACCATTATTTTAACATGAACAAAAAAACAATTAATAAAAAGAAATTAAAATTAATAACATAGCCTTCAAATTGTTTTAAGAAGAGAAAAGTAAATTAATAAAAATATGTCGTGTACAAATTAAGTTTAAAAAATTTAAATTAATAACAAAACCATTATTTTAATGAAATGGAAAAAACAAATTAAGAAAAAAAATTCGACTAAAATGAAATAAAAAAAGTTATAAAGTAGTAATTATATATTTTCTTTAATAAAAAGGAAAAAAATTAATAAAAACTTGTTTGATATAAAAATTACTAACAAAACCATTATGTTAATAACATGAACAAAAAAAAAAAATTAATAAAAAGACATTTAAATTAATAACAAAGCCAAAATTTCAATAAAATGAAAAAAATAAAGTAATAAAAAAATGTCGTATACAAATAATTAAAAAAATTAAAATTAATAACAAATCTATCCATGCCCAACAATTTTTTTTTAATAAAAAGTTAATGAACATCATAAACTGAATGAATATCATAAACTACAATTTTTGCATGCATCATACAACCATCAAATTCAATAAAGTATTTGACTCTGCATATTATACATTGTATCAACAACATATTTAAGTGTCTTCATTAACGTAATAACATTTTACTGATTGACCATGTGTTGATTTTTATGTTCCCTTTCATTTAATTGCCATTTAACCCAATCGTTGTCCTCATTGTTAGTTATCCTACAAAATCAGAAAAGAAGTCATTAAATTCACAGTTATGTAAAGTGGGCGAAGTTATGTAATGAAGGTGTCATAATGATTGAAACTAGTAAAATAATTATACATTTAAAACCATTAGTCACTACGATATTCACTTGCGTTGTTCACATCACAAATCCATCCATGGCCAACATGATTTTGCCACATAGCAGTAGCAGTTGCATCCCTAAAGTTAGATTGGTACGTTAACCCATGTTGTGACATGTCAACATACTCAGCTTGGTCTCCAACAAGCCCGTCTGCTTCGGCTTCTGCGGCAATTTCATTATCAGCTTCCATGAAGAATGGGTCTATATCTGTATGCAAACGGATCCAATTGTACAGTACACATTGTAATTTGGCATGGATCGTAATATTGGGATGAATTGCTTCTTCAGAACACCAAATGTTTTTTCTATGACATTGCGTAACGACGAATGTCGATGGTTAAACAATTCCTTAGGTCCTGACTAATGACAGCCATGAAACTCTTGTAAGTGATAGCGTTTGGAACGAAATGGGGCACGAAATCCAGGCATGTTCTTGAAACTAGCATCCACTAAATAATACTTGCCTACATGTAAATAATGAATGAACTGTTCTGTCAAACAGATGTACAAAAAAATAATTCCGAAATGTGTACCGTATGATATTTCGGGACACTCACCATTAGGTGGGTGTGGGAACTGTAGGTCAGCTCTTGTAATAGAGTCAACTTAAATAACGTTGTCGTGAGTGCTACATTCCCATCCAGAATTAATAAATGTGAACAACATGTTGAAGTCGCAAGCTGTAAGTACATTTTGCGATACCGTAGATTTGTGATTGCGGAATGTATTTTGTCTTGAAGCAGGGACCCGTGCATCCACCAATGTGCCATCGATAGCACCGACACAATCCTAATTGAAAGATATTTGTTTGACATTAAAAGCGAAACAAACTTGGATATTACTTTTATAATAGGAGAAAAAAAAAATATCGTCCCTTATTGTTATGTAAAACTTACAGGACAATCATTAAATTCATACCTTGAACCAGGAAAAAAACCTCTTGTCATTTAAAATTTTTGCCGATATCTCGTCTTGGTTACGTGGTTTGATAACCGTTGATGCAAGCTTGCACAATGCCCGCATAATAATTTTTATGTGCCGGCAAATTGTTTCCGTGGAGTGTTGAAATCTATCTGCCAGTAGTCGATAGCGATCATTTTGTGCAAAAGTGTATAAAAAAAATCCAAGCGATTCCTCCACACTGATATGCATATGTTCAATATCGATAAAGCCATTTTAGAGTAAGGTGTTTTTCAATAAAATGAATATTTGTGCATCCATTCGCATAATGTCCATCATTGTTTCTGGATGGCCATTTAATAAGCTGAAGATGTAATCATCACCTCTGAATGGTCAAGTTCGCTGTGGTCGGCGACTACTTGATGCGTTGATATGGTCATGCATGAAAGCAATCATCAAAAAATCTATAAAATCTTCAGTAACCTCATCCTCCTCTGATGAGATCTCCATTGCGTTGTTTTCTGTGTCGGATGACATATTGTTTCGTCTACATCACAGTAAAAGCATAATTATAAAATAATGTTTGACAATATGGTAACGCTTACCATTATTGGTGAAACTGAATTAAAAAGTGGCTACATGAATAGTCGGCCTTAGTCATTTACCAGCATCTACTAAAATATATATGAGAAGAAAATTTGTTTAATATGTAGTCATCTTGTAATAACACAACATATTGATGTAAAACAGAAACTACTTAAAATTTCAATAAAATTAAACATACGAAGATGGAAAAGAAAGAGCATCTCATGGAATGAAAAAAATGATAAAAAACAAATCAGAAATCATGAAATCATCTTGCAGAACGACAAGGAGATTCGCTAACACAATCAAAACACAACTTCTCACTTCACTGCAAAACGAGGACCATAGCTATGCATAAAAAACCTTCGCTATTTCTTGTCTTTAAACAGTGTCAGTGCCCTAACGTACTGCACTGGTGGTAAGTCCCCAAGCTTTAGCAATGCCTCTTAACATGCATAAAGGGAATACTCATCACCACCTGCACTTACAGCCTCTGTCTCATTTGATCGTGCACGTGAATGTTCTATTTTTGCCTGTACGTAGGATGTGAAAGTTGCGTACACATCATCGAACCCACTTGACCGTGACTTTTTCGAACGACCACTGTCAGTCTGGCTGCTTGTAGGGCCCTCTTGTGACTTTTGCCCTTCGCTAGATCCATGTACTCATCGCCGAATAAGTCAACAGGAATGGCTTCAGCAGCATTACTCTCACCAATTTTAGGGTTCCAAAATTTATTTAGCATTTCATCTTCTTCATCTGAGTTAAGGGCTCCTTGTGTGGATGCACGAGACAAGGCCCTTGTGGCACAACAATTTTCAACAATTTCCGCTATTTCTTGGAAATACTTAAATCCTTTTGTCCTAAACTTCTTTACATTTCTGGTAGCCTACAACAATTGAAAATATTGAATTATGCATACTGTATATGTGATGAAATGTTAAAAAAAAAATTTGAAAATGGTACAGATTAATGAAAAATCTTATCCCAAAATTCATCGGGTGCTACAACAGTGCCTACAATGGGATCACATCCCAAACCAATCTGTGCCTGCAGTCGCTTAAACGTCTGGTAATCAGCTTTCAATCGCTGATATTTTTGTTGCATCTGTTTTTGCTGTATACTGAAATCCATACAGATTGTGCAATTGATTTGCAAAATGATTCCAATGGCTAATTGTCGACACAGTAGTACAACCTGTTGTTTGATTTTTTTTAACTTCTTCTCTCAACATGTTTATTAATTTCATTTCAATTTTGGGAGTCCACATTTTTGTATCTTGATTGTCATCGGAATTGTTTCCATTTATCTATAAACATACAATTTATATTTAAACTACTCTGGAGTGGATATAAAAGAATAACAAAGCAAACTACTCTGGAATGGATAGAAAAAAATAACAGAGCAAAAACCAATTACAATTATTTATGTGGGAACCAAAATTAATATTTATTTGAACTTGGTAAATAATGTTAGGAAAAGCAGATGGTTTGAAGGGTAACACAGATAAAAAAATAAAACCACATAACATTAATGTTTACTTTGAACTTGTTAAATAATGTTAGGAGAAGCAGATGATTTGAAGGGCAACACAGAGACAAAATAAAAATCACATAATATCAATGTTTATTTGAACTGTAGGAAAGGCAGATGATTTGAAGCCCAAAACAAAGACAAAATAAAAATCACATAACATTGTCTGTAAAAAGTTTGTGAAGCAAGTTTACACAGTAAAAAAATAACCACAAATAAGCAGAAGAAGAAGACCACAAGAAGAAATAAGCAGAAGAAGAAGAGCAGAAGAAGAAAAAAAGAGAATGATGAAGGAGTGGAGCATGGAGGTCGACCAGCCAGATGACCCGAGGGACGACCGGCTCAGCTTCAACCGTTCAAAGAGTTCAAACAGATCAGAAACTATCTCTATACATGTTCGGACTTATGAGAAACCATTTTCGAACTCTTTTGTACATAACAGATGATTGAGGGATATATGTACCAGATTAGTGAGAGTTGAATAGTTATCACCAGTGATGGAGTAGGTACAGTGACTGAATGTGCGACTCTTTGGTAGTTGTCTGATTCGAGAATAGGTTTGATAAATTTGACTTGAGACAAAAAAAATTGGGAATAAAATTAGGGGTGAATTAGAAAATCAGTTACTTGTAAGAAAATATTTGAAACAAATTTGTGATTTATTTGACCTCGATGTCGTCGTTGTTTGGTTGCCTGTAGAATGAATCTTCCACAACACACAAATTGTAACTCACTTAATTTTGTGGGAGATGGTATGAGTAGGGAGCGGGTTCACAGACATAATTTATAAAATGGTCTGAGTTCACAATTAACACTACCTGTGACGAATCATCAGCCCTAATCTTTGAAATATAGAAAGACGAGTAGATCAGTTCACCTGTATATTTCTTTTTGCACGTGAACCTTTTCAGAGATGATGAACATGGAAGCTTTTCAGAAAGGAAGAGGAAGAAGACCGAAGACGTTGAAAGTGGAGAAATGAAGAACAAAGCTGCTAAACGGGAAGTCGAATTGTATTTTGAATGATATGGTGAAATTCTATTTTGAAAGTCGTATCCAAACGTGAAGCGGGAGTGATAGAGTAGAAATGTAATTTGAAAACACATCCAAACGGAGCCATATATTCTTACCATACATCTTAACACATTTATTACACCATCACTGACTCTAAAAGAGTCACAATCTGGTAACATACCTTAACATACATTTTTAGGGGCCTTTTCCCAAATTAAGGCAAAATAGCAACCTATTTCCCAAACTAGGCCTAGTTTGGACGGAATTTCCAAACTAAGCTAAAATGTGGTTGTGAACCACGCTTTCACCGTTGTTGTGACCCTCCCGTGAAAAATTTGTAAAATCGTAAAAGCGTGATTACAAATCACGCTTTTAAATAAATTTTTGTTTTTTTTCATAAAAGCGTGGTTCGTAACCACGCTTTTAAAATATATTAAAATGTGATCAAAATAATACTTGAGCTCTTTGTAGCCCAAATGGTAGTACATTTGTTTTGCCTGGAGAGGCGCGGGTTCAATCCATGGCATCTCCAAACGGTTGTTATTTTTCAAATTAAATTCAACTTTTTTTTTTCTTCCTTCCACTCACTCTCTACTTTATATATTTATTCAATCCATGACATCTGTTATTTTTCAAATTAAATTCAACTTTTTTTTTTCCTTCCTTCCACTCACTCTCTACTTTATATATTTATTCAATCCATGACATCTCCAAACGGTTGCTATTTTTCAAATTAAATTCAACTCTCTTTTTTTCTTCCTTCCACTCACTCTGTATTTTATATATTTATTATGTAATTTTTTTATCAAAAAAAGTAAAACGTTTGTTTGGTTAACTAAAAAAATTCTCTATAAAATATAATTTTTTTCAAAATGTCAACATAATTGTTTAAAAAGTATTCAGTGTGTTTGGTTTGAGTTTTTTGGATTTAGTTATTCGAAAACTGAGTTTTTTGATTTTCGTATTTTTTTGTTTTTAGTGAATATTTTTAAAATTTCAAATATTTTTTTTTACTTTTTTAGATGCACCTTAGTTAGATGTATCTAAAAAGTAAAAAATTTGTAAAAAAATATTTTAAAAAATTAATAAATACATAAAAATACAAAAAATGTACTGAAAAAATGTATTTTGAAAAAAATACATTTTAAAAATATTCACTAAAAATATTTTTTCAGTACATTTTTTGTATTGGTGAATATTTTAAAAAATTAATAAATACATAAAAATATAAAAAATGTACTGAAAAAATATTTTTAGTGAATATTTTTAAAATGTATTTTTTTTTTTCAAAATACATTTTTTCAATATATTTTTTGTATTTTTATGTATTTATTAATTTTTTAAAATATTTTTTCACAAATTTTTTATTTTGTAGATACATCTAACTAAGGTGCATCTAAAAAAGTAAAAAAAAAATATCTAAAATTTTAAAAATATTCACTAAAAATAAAAAAATACGAAAATAAAAAAAATCAGTTTTCAAATAACTAAATCCAAAAAACTCAAACCAAACATACTGAATACTTTTTAAACAATTATGTTGACATTTTGAAAAAAAATTGTATTTTATAGAGATTTTTTTTAGTTAATCAAACAAACAAACGTTTTATTTTTTTTGATAAAAAAAATTACATAATAAATATATAAAGTATAGAGTGAGTAGAAGGGGGAAAAAAAAAAGTTGAATTTAATTTGAAAAATAGCACAACCGTTTGGAGATGCCATGGATTGAACGTGCGCCTCTCCCAGGCAAAACAAATGCACTATCATTTGAGCTACAGAGAACTCAAATATTACTTTGATCATATTTTAATATATTTTAAAAGCGTGGTTAAAAATAGCACTATTACTCTTTGGTCAACAGTAAAAGCGTGATTACGAACCACGCTTTTATAAAAAAATAAAAATTTATTTAAAAGCATGGTTTGTAATCACACTTTCTTAATTAGAACGCGTCCACTGAAGCGCCAAGAGTAACCTGTACTTCCATGACGGAAATTTGTCCACTGAAGCGCGATTGCTACTCTTGACAGTCGCTTGATTTTGCATGTGCTCCAAGACTCCATTGACGAGACTTTCAATCTAGTTCACAAGCTGTGAGTACATCGTGCCAGAGAGCTTTTCACGCAGATCCCTTGCGCCTGAAACAGACCCATTTCTTTCTTGCTGGACACTCTTATTCTGGAGCTTCAGGCGAAGATCTTTATTCTGTGATCTTCAAGCACCATTAACATACAATCAAAATGATACAATAGCTCGGTGGCTGGGCCAACTGTTTGCATCACAGAGAGAGGAACAACACAGAAGTGCCCTTTACCTGTTCGACAAAATGCCCCAGTGAAACCTTGTCACTGTGCTGTCATAAGATGATTAAGGAGAAAATGAAAGAGAAAGAGGACAATGAGAGGGATAGAGAGGGTAGTAAGCTATTATTGAAGAAGGGCAAACTAGCCAAGAGTAAATCAAAAAGCAAATCTTCGACTAAGGTATCTTTGAAGGAGTTTGTAAATCAAGTGGATCAACTATCTACTGATGATATGCCTAATGTACTTCCCCGCCGGTCTACACGCATTCGAGGCCCCCCCAAATCCCTTTCACTTGGAGATTTTGTGGGACCGTGGCAAGGGCCCTCAAATGTAAACAAGAGGGGATTGAGGGACGTAGATTCGGAGGATAGCTCAATTGAGTGTGACTGTGATCTTGGTACAGCACAGTTTCGATGGACTGTGGAAATGCAAGCCTCACCTGAGCAATCACCAAAGCAGCATCAAACACCTAATGCATGGAACACACCAACTAGAGTGCTAACTGATGTTGAGCAGTGGCCAAAATTGACCACTGTGTCCCCATTGGTGGCAAACGAAATGATGTTGTCAAATAAATTTGGCTCACTTAGTGTTGATCAAAGAAAAGAAGTAATGGGTTCCAAGCAACGAGAGAGTGATAAGCCCGTCCGAGCTTGTCGAAATGAGGATTCGGTTGATCTACATATAGAAGATGGTAGTGAAGGTCTGGATACACTTGCTATATCAGGTAAATCTCTACAAGTTGGGAGCTCTTTAATTAAAGAGGAGATTAACCAGGTGTCAAAATTGAAGTATAAAATAGGTGCCCATAAGATTGAGAACCAAGTAGATGGCATTTACAATGTCCCTATTGAGATCTCAAAAAAAGGCTTTTCTCATTGGGAAAATGCTTTGGTTGGATACTTCATTGATAAAAGATTCTCTTTCCATTATGTGAAAACTTGGGCGGAGAAACTTTGGGAAAATTTGCTTGAGAACGTTGTCTCCATTGACAATGGTTTTTTTTTTTTATTTTTAAAGTAAAAAGTGAAGAGGCTATGGACACAATCTTGGAAGATGGCCCCTATTATGTTGGGGCTAGATTGATTGTTATTAAAAAATGGCAACCTGGACTAAAACTAACAAAGTGTGAATTTTTAAGTTTGCCATTATGGGTGAAGTTGTACAATGTTCCTTTGGAACTTTTGAGTGAAGAGGGTTTGGGTTACATAGCTAGCATCTTGGGAACTCCTCTTTATTTGGATGAGCCAACTTTTAAGAGAAGCAGACTTACGTTTGCGAGAATTTGTATTGAAGTGCCAGCAAATAAAGAGATCCTTAAGTCTTTCAAAATAAATTTTGGCTATGGTGACCCATATGAGATTCAAGTTGAGATACCATGGAAGCCCCAAAGGTGTGATGGTTGTAAGACTTTTGGCCATACCACTAATTTGGGCCCTCAAAAGCCAAAGTCTTTGAATCCTCCCTCCTTCAAACATGAGTGGAGAGTCAAGGACACTAAAACACAAATTCCGACTAAATGGGAAGTGGTGAAGAAAAAGGGGAGAGATGGTGGGCAAGGTTCAACGCCATTGATCAACAAAGAGAGAGAGACGCAGTCTTCTATCCCCTCTACATCTAATGCCTTTGATGTCCTTGAATCGTGTGATATGGACGAGTTAGGAAATGGAGATTCAAGTCAAGAGTTGAGAAATAGAGGGAGTCCATCTCCAAGTGATCCTAGTTATGGAGAGACTTCAAAAGAGGATAACAGAAGAAAACTTAAAGCGAAACTTCATGACTTGAAAAATGCTAGAAGGAAATTCTGAATCCTTATTTTGTTGGGAATGTTGTGCTTGTTTTCTATAAGCTCAGTTTGTTTTTTTTTGGATGGAGTAGTTTATTTTCGGACGAGAGCCGCAAGCTTCTCGACCAGACTGCCGCCGCGGTGGCGCTTCCTCGGCCGTTGGATTTCTCCGGGATTGAAGATGTATCGCAGATTGTGAAATCTTCGGTTTCCGGTGAATTGGCCTCCATTAGTGAGCTTTGCGCGGTGAAACGGACTCTGCGATCGGCGAGGGAGTTGTTTGAGAAGCTGGAGGAGCTTGCTTTGCACGATGACGATTCTTCTGAAAGGTATAATTGCTAAAACTCTTGCTTCCATTATTAATTTTCTATATATATATATCTAACTGCATAGGCATGTGATGTATGGAATTCAATGCAATGCAATGCAATGTTTAATTTGATCATTTTTCTTAGTAAGTGTGTGTGTGCACGCTAGATTTCAAGTTTACACATATGGAGTGATTTAAATGTATTCAAGGGCCGAACCAGAAATTATGCTTAGGGAGGGCCAAGGTGTGTGCGTAAATTTAGTTTTGGTACATTACTAATAGAGATTAGCGGATTGAGAATCGATTGAGATAGTTTGGTCATATACAATGGAGACCGAGATAATAGTGAAGAGATGCCATACAACGATAATAGAAAGAAGTGTCAGGGGAAGAGGCAAATTTGGATTGATGTAGGTTAGTATAGTGAATAGAAATATGAATCTCTTAAATTTTACTAACCAAATTCTTAATTTGACTAATTAAATGGTCTTTGATAGAGTTGTGTGGATAATAAAGATTCATGTACCCGACTCGATTTGATGGGATTTAAGACTTAGGCCTCGTTTGGCAAGAGGCTATTTTAGCCAATTAGTCAAAAAGTTACTAAATTAGCCAAAAAGCCAACAATCCATACCAAAAAGTCAAAGATTCTCTTTTCTCTCTACTTTTTGCACATCCTTTCGTAATTAGCCAAAAAGTCATCCCAAACATACAAGTTTTTTTTACCTACCTTTTTAGCCAAATAACCAAAAAGTTACTAAATTAGCCTGTTCCCAAACGAGGCCTTAGTTTGGTTTGGGTTTGGTTATATTACTAACATAAGATAATTTCTTATGTTAGGGTTGTGAAAAAAAATTTATGATGATAAAAATAAATAAATTTAATATGTTTTTTAAAAAAAAAATTGTTTTCTAAAGTTTTGAATTATTAATAAAACCATTTTTTTGGTTGACAATATCTAGTAAATAAAAAGTATACATGTTTCTTTGATTTTTTTTATAAAAAAAAAAAAAGAAAAAAAAGTGGCATACACGTCTTCTATAAATAAAAATGACTAGATTATATTGATACTATTTAGTGTGGAAAGTAGTTGAAGATCACCTTATTATACATTGTGAAAAATTAATAAAATAAAGAGTTAATAAAATGATTTATAAAAAGTTAGGAGGCAATATGAATATACATTTTAAAAATGTCATAAAATATGGAGGTATTAGCGTAATTTACAAGAACTTGGGGGGCCATGGCATCCCCATCCCTCAAGTTGTTTCGCCACTGAATGTATTACCCTTGTGTTTTGCTGAATTATGTGAGGGAGGTTGCCATGTTGTGTTAAACAATTGTTTCTTTATGTTTGTTTTTGTCAGGAAGTGGTATCATAGATCTTAAAGTACCTTTGTGCCTTCAATCTTGAACATTGATTTTGTGCATATTGTTGATTGTTGCAATAGAATTGCCTTATCAAATTAGGGTTGAGGTTTTGAACAGTTGTATGCTAATTTGGTTAGTAAAAAACCTCTCAAAACAGGTTTTAGTTATTGAATGCTCATTTTTGGTCTCCAAAATAAACCGGGCCTGCTAGTGAACAACTTAGTTTGGCTAAGGAGCTCATTCAGGCTTTTTCACAACTTAAATGACATAAACTTAAGGTTTGAGTGCAAGTGTTTAGTAGCCAGGCCTAAATGACATAAACTTTGTTCAATTAGGTTTCTGAAAATTAACATAGTTGTTGGGCTATATATACAAAATAGCCCTCTATGAAATTTTACTGAAAAAAATGAACTCTGAATTGAATGTTGGCAGACGCAAATCAATTGAATTATGTGTTGGAATGTGTCCTACATTGTCTGGAGTTGTCCCATCTGTGCTGGTTATAAGGTTCCAGTTTCCCTCTCCTTAATGCCTAGATTTTAAGGAGAAGTATGGGTTGGCCTTTTCAATTTGTATCAGAGTTTGGTTGGGCCTGTGATTTGTGTGCCGTTTGTTCGGCTATTGTATCTTGTGGTCCAGGAGGGTGTGTTGCAATGTGTCCCACATCGCCTGGAGTTATCCTATCTATGCTGGTTTAAGGTTTCAGTTTCCCTCTCCTTAACACCTGGGTTTTAAGGAGAAGTGTGAGTTGGGCTTTTCAATTTTGTGATGAAGAAATGGTTAAATAGTTTGATCATATTGTTTACTTTTGATCACTATGTTGCACTTATAAAGCTAGGAGTACTATGTTTTGAGACAACTCATACAAAATTGAGTGATGATTAGGTTATTTAGCTTGCCTGATTAAGATTGTGAATGCACTTAATTTGGCGAAATAGAAACACGTTGAGCTTCGACACTAGTTAATTTTGAAATGCAGCTTTGGCTTGACTTGAGCACTAAGTGCAAATCACCAAGAAAACAAGAACAGGCCAGTATGTGGTTAAGCTTAGCTCCTTTGCAGCCATAGTTGGTTGTTTTATCTCTTTTTTACTTTGCCTCTTGAGGGATTTCAATCTACAACAGGTGAATAAGCAGATTGATTTTCAATTTCAAAGATTTTTAGAATCAGAAAGTTTTCATCAATTTACCTTTTAAAGTAGACTTGCTTGATAGCATAGCATTTTGCATTTGGAATCTTGAACGTATTCAATGGTTGGTTGACTTACAACCTGAAAATGCATCCCCATTGACTATTCCATTGATTATTGAGCAGTACTTTGCTCTGGTTGTTTGGCAGCTGGCACAATTGGGAGAAGCATAAATTATTTGTAATGATGACCTTCATGGTATTTATGTTAGGATTTTGAAGAAAATGTTTCATTTTTTGGTGCAATTCTCATTTTTTTCCTTTCCTTTCACATAACTGAAAATAGAAGCTGCTGCATGAATTCCACTTGAGTATTAATGAGAAGTTTCATTGGGTTGCATCTATTTTATCGTATTCAAACAGGTACTTGCCTCTGCTTGATATTCTTCGGAGTTGCAATTTCCTGAGTGAGTTGGAGCAAAAAATAGGATATTGCATAGATTGTAATTTTTCAATAATTCTTGATAGAGCTAGTGAAGATTTGGAGATTATTAGGTCTGAAAGGAAGAGGAACACGGAAAATCTAGATTCTCTGTTGAAGAAAGTATCAGCTCGGATTTTTCAGGGGGGAGGTATTGACAGACCGCTAATAACAAAGCGTCGATCTAGGATGTGTGTTGGTATTAGGGCGTCGCATAGATCTTTGCTTCCAGATGGTATAGTTCTGAAAATTAGCAGCTCTGGAGCAACATACTTTATGGAACCCAAAGAAGCAGTGGAGTTGAATAATTTGGAAGTAAGACTTTCAAATTCTGAAAAGGTGGAGGAGCAAGCCATTTTGAGCTTGTTTACATCTGCGATTGCTGAATCAAACATAGAGATTAAGTATTTGTTGGATAGAATTCTTGAACTTGATCTTGCTTTAGCAAGAGCTGCTCATGGTCAGTGGATGCATGGTGTCTGTCCGAATTTAACGACAGACGGTTTTGAATCTTATGAAACTGATTCTTCTTTGTTAATAGATATTGAAGCTATACAACATCCACTACTCCTAGAGACCTTTCTGAAAAATTCACCAGATCTTATTGCATCCAAATCTGGGAGTTCAGATCCCTTAAATAGGGGAAATGGTGCAATGAAGTCTGAAGCTTTTTCTGATTCATGTGATTTTCCTGTGCCTATTGACATCAAAGTTGGATGTTCAACCAAGGTGGTTGTGATCTCAGGACCTAACACTGGAGGCAAAACTGCTTCAATGAAAACTCTAGGCTTGGCTTCTGTAATGTCAAAGGCTGGGATGTATTTGCCTGCTAAGAGGCAGCCAAGGCTTCCATGGTTTGATCTTATTCTGGCTGACATTGGAGATCACCAGGTAAACATTTACTCTCTATGTGCATGTCATGGTTTTCCTTTTAGTTTTCTCTTTCTATTTGTGTTCTGAAACTCTTATTGTCAAATGAAGTCTCTAGAACAAAATCTCTCGACTTTTAGTGGGCACATATCGCAGCTATGTAAGATGTTGGAAGTGGCCTCAAAAGAATCACTTGTCCTTATTGATGAAATTGGGAGTGGGACTGATCCTTCAGAAGGCGTGGCTCTTTCAGCCAGCATCTTGCAGTATTTAAAAGATAGGGTTAACTTAGCTGTAGTGACTACCCATTATGCAGATTTAACTCGCCTCAAAGAAAGGGATACTCGGTTTGAGAATGCAGCAATGGAATTCTCGCTGGAGACTTTACAACCTACCTATCAGATTCTGTGGGGAAGCAGAGGTGACTCAAATGCCTTGAGTATTGCTAAATCAATTGGCTTTGATGACAAAATAATTGAACGCGCACAAGTATGGGTGGACAAGTTGATGCCAGAAAAACAGAAGACAAGGCAAAGTTTGCTGTATCAGTCGTTAATGGAAGAAAAAAACAGATTGGAAACTCAAGCAAGGGGAGCTGCATCTCTCGGTTCAGATATTATGAATCTTTATCGTGAGGTATGATTCTAAAAGTTTGGTTGTGGGATGTAGTGCTCATAAGGTTTAGTTGAGACACAACTCTTTAGTGTAGCCAACTGTGCATAGTTAGGATTGAGGGTTGGTTGAGTTAATTTTCATGGGCTTCGGCCCTGTTTCTCCTGGTCTCCTGGTTCAATAGATCTGTTTCGTATGTCAGGTCCTTGCAAAAATGAGTTTCACTCTTCCACTATAGATGTAGGCAGTGATCCTTGGAGCGCAATTTGAATGCCAGCTGCTATTGGCTGTTTATCCAATTGCTAGCCACAGGCAGAGTGACTCTACCTGCAACTTGCCCTTAGTTAAGAAATGCAGAAGCACCCCCCCCCCCCCAGCTGCTATTGGCTGTTTATCCAATTGCTAGCCATAGGCACAGAGTGACTCTACCTGGGTTATTACACTCCCATTGAAAGGCTGAATTTCCTTGTCAAAGAAGTTGCTTGATTATAATGTACATTCTACAGCTGCCTCTACTTAATGAGATCATTATTATTATTTTTTTATTTATTTTTGTGTGTGTGTATATCTAAATGAAGATTAGAGATGAGGTTGAGGATCTTGATAGGCGTGAGGCAGTTCTTATGGCGAACGAAACCCGAAAGGTCAAACGAGAGCTAAAAGCTGCAAAATCTCAGATAGAAAGTGTAATACAAGAGTTTGAGAGTCAACTTAGAACCACAAGTGCTGATCAATTTAGTTCGCTCATCAAGAAATCGGAGTCTGCAATTGCATCCATTGTTGAAGCACACTGCCCCAGTGATGATTTCTCTGTCAGAGAAACAGCTGACAATTCTTATACCCCACAAATCGGTGAGCAAGTCCACGTGGAGGGGTTAGGAAATAAGTTGGCTACTGTAGTTCAAGCTCTGGATGATGATAACACTGTTCTTGTGCAATATGGAAAAATCAGAATCCGTGTCAATAAAAGCAATATCAAAGCTCTTCGAAATAAGAATGCAATTGCTGCAAAAAGTTCTGTCCAAAACATGAAAAGGCAGGTATGTATTTTGATGAATTTGTGGTATGGTAAGTTTAAATTTATTGTTGACAACTTATTATCGTGGATTGAGATTGTATAGTGCATTTGGTGATCTGTTCTAAAACTCTTCTCTTTTTGGATTAGCAAATTGGTTAAACTTGTCAGGAATTGACATTACAGGGTCAGCCGAGAAAAAATGCGAGGAATCTTTCAGAGTTCAGCAATGATAAGGAGGTCTCTTATGGACCTGTGGTGCAAACATCAAAGAACACAGTGGACTTGCGCGGTATGCGAGTCGAGGAAGCTTCACATTTGTAAAACTTTATGTATTATTGATTGTTGTGTTAATACATTGATATTTTGTATTACAAATCAGAGTGGCATTATATAGGAGAGGGTTTGGGTAGTAGGTGAGGAGTAGTGGAGTGTAGTAGGTGAGTGTGAGTAGTGGAGTGTAGTAGGTGAGTGTGAATGGTAAATTCTAACAGCCCCCCGCAAACTCAAGGAGGATAGAAACTAACCAACTTGAGTTTGGAGAGAGGAACAAAGCAAGAAAATACATAAAAATAAAGGATAGGAGACACTGTATGGTCGTGTCAGACCGTTGGTGTAGAAGACAGTTTATGGGGTCATGTCGGACCGTTGTAGAAGACAGTTTATGGGGTCATGTCGGACCGTTGTAGAAGACAGTGTACAGAGTCTTGTCGGACCCATAAAAGAGCTAACCGGAATCAATGTCGGATCAGTTTACAGAGTCTTGTCGGACCCATAAAGGAGCTAACCGGAATCAATGTCGGGACAGTTTACAGAGTCTTGTCGAACCCATAAAGGAGCTAACCGGAATCAATGTCGGGACAGTTTACAAAGTCTTGGAATCAAATGTCGGGACAGTTTACAGAGTCTTGTCGGACCCTTAAAAAATACACGGTATGATGGTGTATATAGGCTGCCCAAATATATATATATGTGGATATATATAGTGAGCCCTCAAAAGTCGTGCCCAATTTTTCAAAAGGCGTGCCATCAAAAGGCGTGCCCAATCCATAAAAAGGCGTGCCATCAAAAGGCGTGCCCAATTCATCAAAAGGTGTGCCGGACATGATGGCGAGGCACGTGGGCGCCTTGGCTTGCGTGCCCGTTTGTCGGCTGGTGTCGCGCGATGCGCGTGTCTGCCTTGGCTATATAACCAAGACGAAGGCAGAGGCTGAGGCAGAGAAAAATCTGAGAGAAACCTCTGAAAAATCCTTCGTGTTGCTGAGAAAGATAGTTCCGGTTGCTGAGAGAGAGTCTGTAATACTCTGTTGCCCAGAAAATAGTCTGTAACACTTTGTTGCCCAGAAAATGGCCTCGTCCTCGTCTTCCCGTGGACTGCTCACCCTCTTTCCCGACCTCAACGAGTCAACAAGAGAGAGAACTGGTGCGGTGGCACTGGAAACTCAACCAAGCGCCCCGGAGTTTGCTCCGTTGAACTTTCCGATGCGGTCGTAATATTGGTAAAATAGAACTTTTTTGTTTTCTCCAAACCATGGAAGACCATGGTAATATGTTTTTCAGTGTTATAAAAAGGAGCACATGGTTTTTTCATCTCCCAGCTGGCTCTGCTCCAACGCATGTATAAGGATGCGCGAGCAGAGATAAGCGTGCTAAGGGCAGAAAACAAGGAGCTGAAGCGGAAGGCCACCGTGATGTTCCGATTTGGAGGGCCGCCATATGCTGCAGTGGAGGAGCAGGCAGGAGGCAACTTGCTGGGTGGCCGAGGAAGCACGGAGGCAGCACCGTCAAGGACCGCCCAGGACGGAGGCAAGAAGAAAAGACCGGCGGAATAGGCGAAGAAGTGAGGTCGGTTGGTGGCCGGCTGCAGAAAAGAAAACAAAGCTGTTGTGGTTGTGATGTTTTGTGTATTTTTTATTTTTTTTTTTTTTTTTTTGTGTAAAATGTGGATCGAGGTTGATCCCTGAGATGAATAAAAGATGGTTTGATGTGCAAAGTTATATGGTATGAATGGAATTTGAAAAAGATTAAAAAAATGTGAAAGAAAAATAAAGAAAGAAATAATAAGAATAAATTTGAAATCAAAATGAAAGATGGGGGAAGGAAACCGCGGTGGTTGTGAATGGATTGTTTTTTTTTTTTTTTTTTTTTTTTTTTTTTTTTTTTTTTTAAAGAAAAAAGAAAGATAAAATAAAAGAAAGAAAGTGGAGTAAAAAAGGACATGGGTTTGTGCAAAAGTGGACAATAAAGAAAAGAAAAGAAAAGAAAGGGGATCATGTGATGGAAGAAAAAGGAGATGTCCTGTGTATTCTGAATTGTTGCCTCAGACCCACATGGATTTTCGTGTCCTCTGGATGTAACTTTAAGATCACTGTAGCTTTGTTTTTTTCAGCTCAATATTGGAATTTGAGCTCTTCAGGCTGAACATAGATAAACTGGGCAGACCCAGTCATGGCGATGATAAGATATTGAACAGTGAGAAGGACGAAGATACTCTAGGCCAATTCTGTGATCAACGATTCAGCCACCAAGATCAGGGTTCACTGTTTCGAAGCAAATACTCTCTGAGTCTAGAGAGAGATAGTATGGATCTTCGTCGTTGAGCACACACTGGTTCGACGACAGGCAGGGTGTTTACGGTGGCAGATGCGGTTCCATTCTTGAGGTGGTTGGATTCAGAGGGTTTCAGTTGCTGCAACGTGAACTCCATTGATGCTCTACACTGTCTTGTCTTCTCATCTACCTCTCTCCGTATAGATATATACAGACATGCAGTGAATGTTTCTGGAGGCTAGATCATCGTCATATGCAATCGCCAATTGCTGGAATAACTACGCAAAATGGTGCGACAGAAGGTGCATAAGGGGGGCTACTCACTGTGGGCTGATGAAGAGGATAATACCAGTCAGAAATTTTATTATGGAGCAACGGGTACACGAAGAGGGAGAAAACAGAGATCAGGTGCTGATGGTTAAAGTATTCCTACAGCAGTGCAAGGAAGGCTCCGAATCGGGCTGCGATATGAAGGCAAGCTCGCCTGAGACTCGTGAGCAATATGGATTGGCCTTGTTGCCCAATTTCAGTCGCACCGCTCCAGCAGGTACCGTGGTGTCGTTGGAGTGGTTTTGTGGGTGTTCGAGTGGGAGAAATGTTGCCGCCGTTGATGGCGAAGAACTCGAAGCTATGTGTAGAAATTCCAGCGGGCAGCGAAGGCAAAGTTGTCGGCCGGCTGCCCGCCGGTGAGAAAAAAATTCAGGCCTAAATCTTATAGCTCTGATACCATGTAAAACTTTATGTATTATTGATTGTTGTGTTAATACATTGATATTTTGTATTACAAATCAGAGTGGCATTATATAGGAGAGGGTTTGGGTAGTAGGTGAGGAGTAGTGGAGTGTAGTAGGTGAGTGTGAGTAGTGGAGTGTAGTAGTGGAGTGTAGTAGGTGAGTGTGAGTAGTGGAGTGTAGTAGGTGAGTGTGAATGGTAAATTCTAACAACATTTCCTCAACACAGCCATCAGTTCAAAAGGATCTAATTCAGTTCTGTTTATAATACATGGAATGGGCACCGGGGTTGTTAAGGAGTGTGCAATTGAAATATTGAAAAATCATCCACGTGTTACTAAGTTCGAACAGGAAAGTCCAATGAATTACGGTTGTACAGTTGCTTATATCAATTGAAATGTCGCTCTTTTTTAGACTAAAATAGGCCACAGTCACTATGTATGACTAATTTTCTATAATGATATGCTTGTAGCTCCACTGATGATGTTTTCCTTCTGTCTCTCTCTCTATGTTATAGATATACTGATAACCGGAAATGAATTGTTGCATACGAAAATAAGAGGTTTTTTTTGAAGCAATATGTATGATGTTTTGTTTTTGCTCTATATATGATGTTTTGCTTTCTCTTCGCCTCAGCAAGCAGCAGGACATGACAAAAATGGTGCTGGATTTTCACAATGTTTTCAAGGGCTGTATCTTCATGAGTGAGAGTGAACTGGTCAGCCAGCTTTGATAACCCACAAGGTAAAAGCAATTTAAAGTGAAGATAATGAAGGAAACATTTGTGCTATTATGTTTCAGGTCAGACAATTGGATTAAAAGTGATTGACATGTCAACCACCGATTTGTCAGGTCGATCAGTGCCCGATATGTCAATCATTTCCAAGGCGACTGTTGATTTGAATAGCACTGCTTTTGATGAGATTAGTAATGGCACTTCTATTGAAATTGGATTTGGTGGTCTTTTTATTACAATAAATTTAGTAGTAAATCACAGCAGTTGGTATCAATACTAAGATTCTAGGACTAACTAGCCTGACTCCGGTGCCATGCCATCCTTACCATTGCTTCCATGGTTCTTGCCATCTAACATTGGTGGGTAGAAGTGCAGACTAAATCCCTGTTCACAAGCTTTGGTGTTTCCTGCTAAGCAACTCATTGGTGTGCAGTGGAAGGGATCACCAAAAGGTGGAGGCATACCAGGGATGAAAGGAGGTGTCCCATAACTAGGGATATTGCCTCCACTACCACCTCCACCACCCCAGCCTCCACCGCTGCCAGTACCTCCACCGTTACCATGGCCACTACCCCAGCCTTCGCCTGAACCGCTACCAACACCAATACTAGGTAAACCACCATGAACATAATGGGTCACAAACAATTCAATCCGTTCTTAATTCATACATCCCTCTCACCATTACTGCCAGTACCACCACCCATACCCCAGCCTCCACTGCTTCCACTACTGCCTGAACCGCCGCCAATACCCCAGCCTTCGCCGCCTCCATTACAGCCTGTTCTGCCTCCTCTACCCCAGCCTTCGCCGCCTCCACTACCCCAGCCTTCGCCTCTTTCACTACCAACACCAATACTAGGTAAACCACCGCCACCACCACCAAGAGGGACAATGCCATCTGAAACATTATGAGTGTGATCAACGGAGGGAGAAGGGGGTGGTGTTGGTGGATCATCATCACCTTGTGGTGGAACCGTATGAGCGAGATCAGCAGAGGAAGGAGGGGCCGGTCTTTCTAGAATGTAATGAGTGGGATTATCGGCCAAAGGAGCTTTGGGTGGGGTTCTGTGTGCAGTAAATTGTTGAAAGCTTAATAGAAGAATGAAGGCCAAGTATTTCCATTTTGGTGCAGCCATTGTTATGCTTTGCTTGGAACTTACCTTGTCAACTCTTTATATAGTGAAGTTTGCATGATTGCATGGCATGCCAATTAGAGAGAGAGAGAGAGAGAGAGAGAGAGAGAGAGAGTGAGAGAAACTGATTCTCATGCATATTTTGTTTCTGGAAACCAGCAACATAATCCTTTTGTGAGCATAGAATTGGGTTCCATGACTGTCGGTTGCACCAAGTCTACCCTCTCTGTACGCAATCTAGGTTGCGTTTGGTTCAGTTTTGAAATTGTCATTCTCTTTTTGGACTTGTGATTTAGGTATGGAATTGTGAGTTGAGTTTTGAAAAGAGAAAATTTGTTTGATTATGAGTTTTGAAGGAAATTTTTTTAGAACAGCGAGTTCAGAAGAAATTTTTTTTTCGATAAAAGCGTGGTTTAGAACAGCGAGTTCAGAAGGAAAAAAAAAAATTAAAAGCGCCTTTTGTAACCGCGATTTCTTAATCAAAAGCGCGTTTTGTAACCACGATTTTAAGACTTCCCAAATTCCACGCGAGACAGGCGCATATATGTTGAAACAACAATGATAGAGACCACTAATTTTGGACCTCTAAAAAGACCACTAGTGACATGACACTCAATAAAAAAAGAAAAAAAATACAACATCAAGGCCAAAACATCAAATCATTCCTGGTGGGGCCCACTGTCACATCATTAGTGATAGCACTAATTAGTAATCTCACTCATTTTTCATGTTGAAATCGTGATTGTGAATTACAATTTAGCCTATTTTGAGAATTCTTTCAAAACTAGGTTAAGTTTGGGAATTGATTTACTATTTTGACTTATTTACGGAAATGCCCCTTTAAAAGCCGCCTCTCTCGTGTCTCTCATACAATCAGTGAGTCAATCTGCTGTGTTGTTTAGGTATAGCAGCCAATGGCGTTTTCTTCTTCGATAGCTCGTTCGTTGTGTGGCCTCTGGACCAATGCATCCTCACGCGACTCCTATGCAACCAAGAAGATCTACCCATCATCTCTCTCTCTCCTCCAATGCTCTCCCATCTCCAAGTGAAGTTTTTTCCTCTTTTCCTTCTTTTTTTTCGCTTCCCTAATTTGCTTCTTGTTTCGCTTTCGAGAAAAATGGAGGAAAATTGGAAGAAACTAGATATCTTTTCACGTGATTATTGTTTTCTTGTGATTACTGCGCCAATTTCACTTGATTGGAGTCTGTTTTTATCTGTTTTATGTGATTCCAACAGTGGAAAAAATTGATATTAAACCGAAGGGAACTAACTCACTCTCTTACGCTTCTATAATTTGCTGCTTGTGAATCTATGAATCTAATATTTTTGTTCCTTCTCCTTTCCATGTAAAGAGAATCTGTGTACGTATCGTGTTCAATAACAACAAAATAGGTTTAGAATGAAACAAGGAATGCTAGTTGATTCTGCCATGGCTATGCAATCTATGCTATCACGTTCTCTTGATATATAAATTAAACAATACAATTGACCATATGCTACCTAAATATCTGTTGATTAGAAGAAAATTGTTATATGTAAGGTTGATATGCACTGTTGAATGAGTTAGCCTTTGTGAGGCATTGGCCAACATGTATGTTCTTCCTTTTTTTTCCTTTTAGGAAGTAGGAAGGGGTCCATTTAAGGCCAAATTTACTTGCCAAACTCTCAATGTCCTGCATGTCATCAACAGGGATCAAAATGCAACAAGAATTTTAAATTTTAAATCTAAATCACAATAAATCCATTATATTAATAGGAATTTAAAGGCAAATAACCGAACGATGACTGTAAAAATTGAAAGTTAAGGTTTAGAGCGATTAATCTAAAATTTGAGAGTTAAGTAATTAATATTAGAGTGTTAGAATTGATTTCTAAGCTTCCAGGATCGATTAGGGTTTGTATGGATTCGCCCGTGATGCGTTTTCAGTCCTAGGGCTTAATTTGCGATTAATCGACTAACTAAGGGCTTTATTATAATAATTCAAAATTTAGGGACCTAATAAGGTTTTAAAAAAAGTCAGGGGCCTCACAACCTCGGCCCTTTGGAATGATTGGGGATCATTGGTTAGGTGTGGCTAAGAAGAAGGGTTCGCCGAGAGGTTGATCTCCTCTTCGGGGTTTTCCTCATCCTCGGAGAGGTCACCTCCTTGGACAAGGTGGTTAGAGAGAATCCATCCTACATCATGAGGTGCCTATAAATAGCACCCACCCATAGCTTTACAAGGGATGGATTTTGGAGAATTAACTCTTGGGAAAGAACTAATTTCCCTTCTCCATTATCAACCTTGAAAGTGAAGTGAGAGATCCATGGGAGAGTCTTGCCATTATTCTCTCTCTAGCCATTTTGCATTATTCTTCACCCAATCTTTTATCTCCATCATCTCCTTCACTTTTGTGTTCTTGAGTTGAGACTATTGAAGAATCTAAACCTCTCATCATCTTCTAGAGAATTCGAAATTGTTTTTCAAGGATCTTCGAAGATCTTCGAATTTTTCAACGACATTCTTGAAGTCTTTCATACAGGTTGTTTGCCACCAGAGGTGGAGACTAGGGGTGGCGGGTGAAGGTGATTTTTGACAAGATGTGGTTGGAGGTGATTTTCGCTTGTAAATGGTGGTTGGCGACAATCAAACTTTCTATAATCCACACTAGTGTAGCCCTTAGCTAAGGCAAACAAGACAACCTTCGTGAGTCCTCAAATTTTGACAAAATTTACGTGCCCCAAACAATTTTAACCATCGTAGACTCTGTAGTTTATGTAGACTAAAAAATAGGGCACACTCTGACTTATCAAAATTCATAATCAAATAAAAAAATGATTTTTTTTTCTTTTTTTTCAATTGATAAGAGATTAAAAATATAAGATATTTATATCTAAGTAGACAATTATAGTTTAATCACAATACAACGCATAATATCTAATAGTCCAACAACCAATCTATCAAAGAACCCCATAATAAAAATTAAAAAAAAAATTAATAACACAATTTTGACAAAATTTACGTGCCCCAAACAATTTTAACCATCGTAGACTCTGTAGTTTATGTAGACTAAAAAATAGGGCACACTCTGACTTATCAAAATTCATAATCAAATAAAAAAATGATTTTTTTTTTTTTTTCAATTGATAAGAGATTAAAAATATAAGATAATTATATCTAAGTAGACAATTATAGTTTAATCACAATACAACACATAATATCTAATAGTCCAACAACCAATCTATCAAAGAACCCCATAATAAAAATAAAAAAGAAATTAATAACACCACAAACAACCCAACAATTAACATAATAAAGAGTTCCTATTACGGGAGAAAAATTATCCACATAAAAAATAATAGAGATTCCTATTGAATTATCAAATTTCTTATCAATTACAGGAGTGTGGGGCCCTCTCCTTGTGTATAATTTGCAAAAAAATTGATAATTTAATAAGGATACATAGCAAAGTTGTATCAATATTTGTCTTATAATTTGCAAAAAAATTGATAATTTAATAAGGATACATAGCAAAGTTGTATCAATATTTGTCTTTTTAATAATTGAATCATTAACTTCCTAGTTACATAGATGGTCAACTAAATATCGAAAAAATGAATTGGAGTATTCAACTAAGTAATGAATTGTTGTTTTTTAAATATATAGATTGTTTACATAGGTCTCATTTGGTAGAGCTGTGGGAAAGTTATTATAATTTATAGCCTAACAGCTTATACCTTATAGCTGTGAATATAAGCTGATTTTTGACTTATAAATTAAGCTTCTCCTCCCCCACTCAAAGAATAAGTTAATTTTTGACTTACAAAAAGCTATAAGCTGTATTGTTAAGCTGAATCAAACACATCAAAATAGCTTAAATTAAGTTAAAAGCTGAAATAAGTTGGAAATGAGCCATACCAAATAGGGCTATAATATTTAGTTACAAATGCCTTGGGAGAAATATTTTTTCAAAGTACATTGATTAAATCTTATCAGTCACCAATGTCAAATTTTTTTGAAGGAATTGGCTATATTACCAACTGAAAAGCAAATAATAGAGAAGTCAAATTATGTAAGTTTGATTCTAATTTTATTTCTAAAAAGGCAAGAAAAATAATATTTAATTGATACAGTTGGTTCAATTTTTATTGAAGAATACTTAAGATCCTTAAAATATGACCCCTAAATTTATGCCGTGCACTATTACATATTTGTTTAAGTTTCAATCAACTAATTAATTTCAAACCATGTTATTGTAGGTAAATTTAAAAAGATGTTTTAAAGGCCTCTAACATTATTCATATTTTATCATTTTTAATTTTTATGAAAAAAATTTCTTTTCCTAATCTGTGTAACTAAATTTTTATCATATAATTTTTATTTAATCATTTTATTTACATTGTGTGTGAGATAGAGAGAGGGATTTCATTTTTAAAGTTTTCTTTGGGCTTGGAAAAACTCAAGGTCGGCCCCAGTCTACATTACCCTACCTCATTTCCAATTTATTTTATTTTATTTATTTATTTATTTTACCTACATATAATATAATGTGCATTCTTAAAAAAATATTATATATATATACATATATTTTTTTTTTTACCAACAAAGGTATATTATATATTGTTATAATGTACATAACATAATCATAACATTTTACCGAGTTAATTTTGTTTTATTTGTTTGATGGTTGCTACTAAAATGATTTCTTTACATACACATCGATGGACCTTAAGATACTAATAAAAAAAGAGTGCTGCTATTAGCACTTATCAAAATTCTTTAGACTCCCCATTTCTTTGGACCCCAACCCTAAACCCTAAATTTTAATAATATTTTTTTGGACACCTCACTTGTTACCAAATCTACCCATATTCACAATGAAATGTACACCCACCTGAATCCATTCCAATTCCCTCTCTTCTCTCTCAAATATTATATATATATATATATATACAGCAGTGATTTAGACCCCCTCAAACTTTAACCCCCACCACCACACACACATGGTGGGTAGTGATTGGAGGAGAAGAAAAAAAAAATGACCAATCAAAAAACAAAGGGGGGGAGGAGAAAGGGAGTCTCAATCTTTATTCATATATATATATATATATATATTTTATCAACAAAGGTATATTATATATTGTTATAATGTACATAACATAATCATAACATTTTACCGAGTTAATTTTGTTTTATTTGTTTGATGGTTGCTACTAAAACGATTTCTTTACATACACATCGATGGACCTCAAGACACTAATAAAACATATCATAAAAATTCAAATAGTGTTTTATAAACAAGGCAACATTCTCAAGTATAGCCTTCATGGAGTCCCACTTCCATTCTGCAAGAGAATCATGAAATCATATCTTTCTCGATTTTAAATCAAGTTGGATCAAGGATAAATCCCGTCTGAAAACATATTATTTTAATAATTTTTACACTTTCTACAAAAAGATATACAAAAAAATAAAAAAAATGATATAACAATTTATAATGATTTTTTAAATAAAATATGTAATCTCCAAATAAGGCAGTCAGGCAATAGAGCTCACATTGTCAAGACCTCTTGGCCGTTAGAGAGTGATTTTCTCATATGTGCAAAAGCAAGCATTACAACATATCATTTTTGAGAGACTTCCATGCAAAGTACATTTATTATTCAATAGGTATTGTGATAATTAACGACATTTTTATCAAACATTATTAAAAAAAGTTATTAATTATCAATTTTCAATGACAGTTCAAAAAATTTGTCACATAAAACGTTACTAATTGTAAGTTTTAGCAACAATTTCAAAAAATTGTCAAAGAAAAATGTCACTAATTGTTAATTTAACAACATATTTAGAAAATATAAAAAAAAAATCATTTTTAACGATGATTTTACTAAAACTAATTTCAATGACGAATTGATAAGACTTTACTGAGAATTAAGTCCAACTATTAAACCCTACTAATTATTTACCCTAATTTTTTTCACTAAATTAGTTCATAGCAATTTCTCATCATAAATGGATTGTAATAATTACATCACACTGCTTGTAATATAATCGCAACATTCATTCACTTTAGAATGTACAACATAAATTTGCTCATTCGTAACTTTTATTACAAGATAACATAACTAACACCACAAAATAGCATGGCATTTCTTATCGTGTGCCTTTTTTTAAAGGTGCATACTACAGATTTCTTCCAAAAAATAAAAAAAAACTACAATCACGAAAGATCATTTGATCTGATCCCATTTTGCTGTAATACAATAGTTGAGGATGTATGGAGAAGAGTACATTGTGAATTCATAAAGACCCTGTTTGCTATCTATAAAATATCATCATATACATAGGAAAAAGAAAAAAAGAAAAAGATCGTAAATTGGAGGAGACCAAAAACCAGGAAATCAGAACCTGAAAATTTTAAAATATATATAAATAATATTATATGTATAGGTGGAGGGTCACTGAGCGAGTCTCTGCATCTCATTTTGATCGTTCAAAGTTTCAACAAGAAGAGGAGGAGCATACTGTGCAGTGCCTTGATGCTCCTCAGAATCTTGACAGAATGAAAGGATTATAGTGTCAATAGACATCTCTACCACCGCGAAAAAAAGGGTTGCAACGACATAGCTCAGAGTCCAACATACCTATGTGCACGAAAACATTTATCAGGTATATAATTTAATATTAGTTGCTACAAAAATAGAAGTAGAATGTTGGAAGTCATGGAGAATTTGAATTTCAGAGTCATAACATCTTAAACTGCAAATTCTTAAATTAATTAAACCATAATCATAATCATAATCACCTCGGTGATTACATTGTTTGCAACGAGGTCATGTTCTGGAAGTTGAGATGAAAATGCTTTAAAAGGCACAATAACAATCGTTTAGTTGTGTTTTATTGGTTTTGTTTTTGTTTTCTATATTTTTGAAAACAAAACAAAGAAAAATTTGAAAGATAGGTTGTGTTCACATCACTTTCATATTTGTGCAAAAACAAATTTTTGGTGTTTTCTAAAAAAGTGGGTTGTTTAATTTTTTTTCTTCTTGTTGAAAGCTATTTTAGAAAATCGTTTGCTAAAAAACTTTGGGTTAATTACACTAAGATCCTCTCAACTATTAATGAATTTCACTTTACCCTCTTCATCTATGAATGTATACATATTGACCCCTTCAGATATAAAATCATACAAATAAACCCCTTTTGGAGGTGGTCCTGAGAGGGTGAAAGTCACATTTTTAAAGTTGAGGGGATCAAAATGTATGGGTTCGAGGATGGTAAAGTGATATGTGTTAATAGTTGAGGGGGTTTTGGTGTAAATAACCCAAAAAGTTCAGGAGTTTTGTGAAAAATGAAAATAGAAAATTGAAAACGAAAACTCAACCATATCTAAATGGTCTAAAAATACAAAGTGGCATCAAATGTTGCATGTACAAGTATTCCAAATATTACCAAGAAACCAATTTATATATGTTATGTTTGGTTCATAGATTTGGAAAAAGAAAGGGAAAGGGAAATGTAAATGTAGGGGAAATATAGGTTAAATGTAATTATATTTTATTTATATTTCACCTACTTTTTTTCTTTCTCTTTCCAAATGCATAAACCAAACACAACCATAGTGTTGGCACAAAAAGGAAACCATAGTCATACATCATTTCTAGTTGGAGATGGAATGTGAAAATAGTATCAACAACAATATATTTTTGCATATAAACTCCGATATTATATGTAATGCCTTCATAATTTTATATATAATTGCACAAAATATAATATTGTAATTCAAAGAATTGTAATTCAAACCATTGAGAACTTACTAGCACTGGAAACAACGGTGAGGAGACCTTGTTGTGGGCAGATTTGTATTTATGACCATCCAACATGAGGAATGCAAATATGGCACTTGAAAGGCTCACACACAATTTCCCAAGGAAGAGAATCACATCTCCAATCACATTCACCTTCCCTATCCGAAGAACATTATTTCTGATTAACTCTGTTGCAATTGCAGAAGCAGTAAAGAAGCTTTTACCTGTTATAGCAATCTGTAAGAAACAAGAGAAGTAATTCAGGAAAATCATCAAATGCTAGAAAGCACAAACACGGAAACACATACACACCATTTTGAAAATAATACAGGACATGACATGTGAGGGACATGTGCAAAATAGATAATCATTTACTTGTGTATTATGTCATATATTTGAATACTATATTTATTCTATGTTAAATATTTGTGGGCACTTATTCATAAATCCCTCTTCACCTAGTTATGTTTCATTTAATCTAAGTTATTTTTTTATGTTTCATTAAGTTCTATGGGTTACATAGTTACCGAAATACTCTTAATAATAATATTGTGAACATTCACACTATCAATGTGAATATTATTATGAGTATTTTGGGTGTGAACATTCACACCGTCAATGTGAACATTCACATTGTAAAATATGAATATTCACATCACCAAGTTGCGAACTGTTAAAAAAATATTTGTAATAGTAAAATTGTTCATAAAATACTTTAAATATGAGAATCAGGATTTGGTGGATCAAATGTCTAAATAATAAGACTTATCGGAATACAAGAATATGTTATAGACTAATTGGGATATAAATACTTAAAATATGATTTCCTAATAAATCTCCCAAATATTTATTCTCATCACATTCATCAATATAAGGTATGCTACTCCAATAAAAAAAAATTAATAATAAAATAATAAAAATAACACACTCTGTGTCCCCTCGTGTCTGACTGAAAAAAATGGGATTCTTCCAACAGTCCAACATGTGTCCAGTGCATGTCTATGTCCAACACGTGTCAGGTACCAGTACATGACCTCACAGAAAGGTGTACATGTTTCATAGATCAAATACTTTTAAAATATTAGCTGACACATATAATTGAGTCAAACTCTCATTTGAGTTCGATAGAATTAAATTTTGATTTTAGTGCCATGATCAAACTCAAATTTAGAATCAAATCTTGTTATATAGGCTTCAAAGGTGACAACTATATTTCCAAGATAAACCAACTTACCATTATGTAAGCATTGCGATTCAGAGACTTGATGGTCCACTCAATACATGTAAGGCTGCAATGAGAAGAAAAAGATGCTGCATTTCCAAACCAGTTTTCAGATCTGGCACTAGCAAATTTTAATTTCCTGCGGATTGACTTGAGTATCCAGCGTGATGACTCAACGAGGGAAACAATCAGAGAGCCAATAGCCACAGATCCTAGACTATACCGCATGAGCCGCTTCATTGATGAGAAGACTGGAAGAAATGAAATTTCTTTCTGCATACAATATTCAAGTCCTTGGATGTGTTATAAACATGAAATGAATAGAGTGGTTGATAACTCCAATTTTGTCATAAAAAAAAAAATTTGTCTGATTTTTGTCAATTTAATGCACTCTGATCGTTTGATCCATTGTTAGCACATAACTCCAATTTTATCAAAAAAGAAAAAAGGGTTAATTTCACGTTTGTCCCCTATCACTATTTTTTTCTTTTAATCCTAAAACTATCAATTTCATCTATTTAGTTCCTAAAGTTTCTAATTTCAGTTTATGTGGTCCAATTGTAGACGATTGTACAAATCAGTAACTGTTGAAGCTTGATGTGGTGGGTAAAAGGGTCATTCAAAATTTGAACTTAAACCATACAACCAAACATTCATTTTTCTTACTATTTTGAACAAACAACACACCACAACCAATTTGATGGGTGTTTTGGTTGTATTGTTAAATTGTTTAAATTTTGAAATGACCTTTTTGATCATCAAATTAGGCTTTGGACTGCATCAACTAAATTTAGAAACCTTTGGACTAAATAGATGAAATCGATAGTTTAGGGATAATAGAAAAAATGTTGATTGTTTATGGGATAAAAGTGAAATTGACCCAAAAGAAAAAAGAAAAAAATAAAAAATAAAAATAATAGAGTATGATTTTGTCAATTTAATGCACTCTAATTGTCTGATCCATAGTTAGCACACTATGAAGTCAAGTCAACTTTACACATAATGTGTTTCTGGTGTTCAGATAAGTCGCATAGAAGCTTACCAGTGGCTCACCATGAGCCCAATAATAAGAAGCGACTGATCCAGCGATGACAGTAGAAGAACATGCTATGAAAAATTGTGTGGCCCAATACCACCCGAAGAGGTGGAATGCAATGGCAAGCCCTACATGAGGAGTGTAGTGGATGCTATAACCACAGCAGTGATCACAGCGTACTCTCTTTGAGCCAAGATCATAAGCACAACAGTTTGACTTGCAGTTGTTCTGGACAACTTGACCAGAGCTGTAAATGTAGATACAGGCAGAAAACCAGATCATGTAAAAGATTGCCAGAATGGTATATGGTACAACAGGGAAAACAATTACAGCCTGAACTTCTCCTATGACTTTAGAAGCAACCTGCATATAAATTGAGTGATATGTAAGAATGTGTATGGTTTGCATAGTTCATCTTACACTACTCAATCAGGACTTAAACTTTGCCAAGGAATGAAATTTCGTCTCATTTCCATTGAAACAGACGATATGTTTCTGTTTCCTAAGAAACCGCAAAAAACATTAGTAGAATACAGAAATTCTCCAATGTTTCCACTAAAGCGTGCTGCAACACCATAAAAAATAACGAAGTAACAAGTTTTTTCAACACCTATTAGGAATATCCAACAATGGTCATTTCAAAATTCATTTTTTTGTCAAAAGAAAAGATTTGAAAAAATAAAAAAAATTAATTTATTACAGAATGTGAGAAACTAGAAAGGAGAAGGGAAGAGAAGGAGATAAGGAGATAACGTAAAGTACTTTTTTCTTCACAAGATTACCACTAGTACATTTTTTTTCTTTCTTTTCTCAGCCGTAATGCTACTACAATTTTGTGCTTTCTAATATTTTTTCTTACAATGAAACCCCCCATCCCAACTAAGCCATTAAACCTTTTGTATTATGAATATATAGACCTCATCATATTCAACTATTTAGTTGTTAAGAATGTACTAACATGTATGGTAGCTTTAGTTTTTGTTTTGAAATATTTATTTATGTTTCCAAATTCTTATGCCATTTTCCATATATTTCTGAAACGTTTCCGTTTCGAAGTTGACCAAAACAATTTTTTGATCCTTGAATGCAACTAACAGACATTTAGTTGTTCTAGACCACGCGCGCGCACACACACACACACACAGAGACATAGCAACTCTGAATCTTTATTAATGACTACGCACATTTGAAGGCGGACTATAATGGTAGACTGTCACAGACTAGACTCATGCTTGAAGAGAGTAACACAAAGTGCTGAATAAATACAAAGGTGGGCGAATCAAGTCTCTTCTGATAATATAACATCAATGATGTATAATGTTACGAAATTTGTTGAAATAATTGAAAAAGAAAATATTTTAAAGGTCAAACATGATTGAGATTGCTGTGATGGATAAAACCTAACAAACTCCTCAAAATTTCACGGATTTGTAATGTATTTGAAATTAGCTCAAATGAATTGTGAAAATCAACTTGCGTAGAACACTAAGTATTGTGTTGTGACTCATTTTTCTCAGAAGTAGACTATTACTCATTGTTTTTCCTAATAAATTTAAATGTAATGCCCAATATGATGTTTTCTATAATCTGATCAATTATGGATTTCCATATTATCGAATAGTGGACAATGTCATCTTCCAATGAAACTATGTTGTTTGATAAACCGTACTCAGTATCTAGAAGTCAAGAACTATGAAGCACGGACACCTATCTGGAGCTCATGTACCGGTGTCCAACACATGTCCGACACGGACACGTTGACATGTTGGAGGAAGTGACACGATGGGGACACACGATGGACATGTTGGGAACACACTGAGACATGATAGGGGACAGTGGTGTCCCTATTTTTATTTTTTATTTCATTGAAGTAGCATACCCAAGATTGATTAATCTGATGAAAATAGATATACAACATTTAAACACAAGGCATATAATAAATATATAAAATTATATGTTTTGCACTTGTCTACCACGTGTCGTGTCGTGTCCTGTATTTTTGAAATTTTTTTGTGTCCGTATCGTGTCATGCATCTGTGTTTTCTTAGGTTAAGAATATTAGACATTCTTAGCAAGACACTTTTTCTTTATACTTGCCTTCAACACAGATGTCGCCATAAGGATGCGCCGGACAATGGCAATTGACGAGAGGACACTGATAACCATTACAATGGTCATAAGAGCTGCAACAGCTTGGAGATGATTTTTCTCCTGAAGAGAAAACACTCAATAACATCAAATAAATTGGAATCCTCTTGTTAAAAGAGCTTTGTTATTGAAATGGCACCCACCCTCCCTGATAAATGATAGTAAGGATCATGTTCACCAATGATCGGGGAGATAGCATCATTTCCAATCCATCCAGCTACAAGAAAACAAGTTATAAATGACAAGTTAGCTCGATATCTTTTGTGACTGCTAAAGCAATAACAAGGCATGTGGTTTAACAAGCTTGGATAGAATAGAAGACCTAATGGGAATCTCTGCAAAAACAGAGTTCGTTTGATATATGTAATGTACCTAAGCATTGTTGTCAAATCATGAATAGTATTGAATTGTGAATTGTAAGATTCACTTTATTTAGCATTATTTATAATTTCATCTAGGATACATAAGTCGGTTTACACTTCTCAAAAAAAAAATAATTGAGTTCACATCCATCCAAGAAACGGTGTGTTTTGAAGCAGTAAGGGCCTAGCTCAAAGTGGACAATATCAGTACTATTAGGAATGAGGACGGTACTGTTAGGTATTGTGGACCCTGATAAGTGTTGGTCACTAGGCACTTGATCCAATCGAGGGCTCGGGCCTAATTTCTATGCTTTATATAGATGAGGGGCGCTTTTTGTATTGTGTAAGAGTGTTTTAATTGTTTTCTGATCATAGTGAAACTACAGTGACTGTGGACGTAGCTCTATTCTAGAGTGAACCATGTAAATCCTTGTATTCTTGTATATGTGTGATTGATTCGAGTAGTTTTATTTTTCTTACTTGCTATTTTATGTCTCACCGATCTTGGTTAGGAATTGTCGATTTCCTAACGGTAGGCAATTGGTCAAGGCACCTATAGTTATGGTCGAAGTTTTCTAATGTTTAATTGAGAGTGGTATATTTTAATGGAATTACAAATAAAATTTGAAAAGGAAATATCAGCGTAGGAAAATCAGTGAAATATGTGACAAATTTATACCATCATGGAGAATTGTTCTTTGGCATGAAAAACTTATAACATGTGCTTTTACAAGCATATTGAGTAAAAGATTGCATTGCGTCATATTCTGCAGGATGATGCATATTTTACAATTTGAACGATATTTCCACATTAACAACTGCAATCGTAGAATAACTAAAGTCCTTTAAGAAACTAATGCAGTACTGGTATTTAAGATAAATATCAGCACAGGCAACAAAACATTGAACTAACCTTTTAAGTAGTAGAACATAGTGACCAATATTATAAGAACATTAAAGAAGAAAACTGTTATCCAAGTCATCCCAGAAACAAAATGACGGATCATTAACAGCCAGATCACAGAAAAGAAAAGCGGTATGATTCCTCCACAAACAATCAGGACTGGCCATGCTTTTCCAATATCAGCAACGTACCTCTGCAAAAACAAGTAGATCAAAAAAATCTCAAACTATAAGAAATTAAAAGATGTATATTATATGTAACATGACTCGGTGAGAAGTCATAGAAACAGATGCATCAAGGATCAAATGAAATACTGTATTCACCACTGCACTACATGACATAGATATTTTGGAGTTTATTGACTGGCCCATCACAGAAATTCCTCGAGGCAGAGAATTTGAAAGTAGAATATTGTGGCCCTTTTGAACTGGCATTTTAATATTACTTGTATATTTGAGCTAGAAGAATTCGTGGAAGTAATTGTCTAGGCCTTTATAGGTTCAGTAAATATGAAGACCATAGAGCAAGCTTTCTAGTATTAAAACAACATAGATAGCAAGCAATATGTTTCCTCCAAATTTCAAATTGTACATAATTCGTTAAAAAACATTCCACAAGAATTTTTCAGTGAAAATAATTCATCAAATGACTTTTTCCATTCTCTTTTTTTTTTTTTTTTTTTTTCTGCAAACGCATTAACATTCTTCGAAGCACCCTAACAGAGTAATTATCATTTTTTTTCTATAGAGTGGGGACTTGCTAGATGTAATTTGCAGGAAAATGTTTTTAAAGAAATTTCTTTTCACAAATGCAAGCATTCGTCATATTTGACAGAAAAAAATAAGAATAAAAGTTCACAGGCCCATCTAAGCATGAGGTTCACACTCCCTAACCTTCAAGACAGATGATCTAGAATTGATAAATTCCTGAATAGATTTATCTATTAAAATGTCTTCACTGACAGTTACTCCTCCCATCTGGTGCCACTGGTTCAGAGACACATTTGATGCACGTGCAATAAATTGGCAGCTCCAGAAGACTGAAAAAAATAAAAGAGTAAATGGAAAATCTAACAAGTAGTTTGACACTAGGAAATAAGCCTATCATCAAATTAATAAAAATAAAAAAATAAAAAGACCAGAAACTTGATGAATAATTGACTAAAGGGGTCAAAAAAATATTAAACATAGAGAAAATTTTCCTCTATTATCATACTAGACACTTAAAATAAACATAAGAAAACAAAAGCACAATTGTGATACAGCTTTGAGCCTTCCCCTCGACAAAGGTGACTCTTAGATGCACCTATCAACATTATCAACTTTCATAAGAAAGCCCTAGTGAAAATATAACAAGTTTTACTACCACTTACCATTTACAGTTGGGAAAATGATAGGGTAACAGGGACCTTGAAGTTGTAATGAAGCATTTCTCATTTCTGGGGTAAGGAAGTCGAAGTAATCATAATTCCGGTGAACCCATTCCTTTATTGACAAGTGAATATCTCCCTCTGGATAATCACAAACCCATTTGAGAGTATCTTCTGATGCAACAGGACAGTTCTTCAAGCAGATGCTTCTAGCATCCTCTAGTTTGAATTGGCTCTTCTTTAATCCACTTTGATAAACCTGGTTGGGATTTACCCAATATCTGACTTCTAGTCCACGAAGATCAGGGTTTGCATGCTTGTCACCACATACATTTCCTTTGTAGTCTAAACCATGTGTTAGCCTAGAGAAATATATAGATATTTAATATGTACAAAATGAAAATAAAAATACTTTTAACAAAAGATCACACATAATAAATATATGCATGTATATGAATATATATCAGATTGGGAGATTGATTACAAGGGACATCCCAGAGCATAAGAAAGTAGTTTACATTCCTCCCATTAAACATCGGATTTAACATGGAACAGAGGGTTTACTACAGCCCAAGGAGGTAGAAATTCTTATGTTGGATGTAGAACCTTACCTTAAGCTTGCATGCTTTTGTGAAAAATTATATATATAACTTTAGTGGTGAGGTGTTTGAAAGGATGTTGATCAAGACGAGCATAGCCACATCATACTTGATGAAGTTGAGTTTAAACAAATTCAAGATGTGAAAACATATGAATTTAGTTGCCATCAAGACTGGGACTCGTTTGGAACCTCAAACAATTTGGTGGCGAGGTGTTTGAAAGGATGTTGATCAAGACAAGCACAGCCACATCATACTTGATGAAGTTGAGTTTAAACAAATTCAAGACGTGAAAAAAATATGAATTTGGTTGCCATCAAGACCAGGGCTCATCTGGAACCTCAAATAATTAAGTCATGAGTCTTTTTTGACTCATGTTTTATTATCTGTACGAGTTTTATTCTGCTAATCAAATTTATTATGTTTTATTAGTTTTGTATCATGGGTTTTTTTGGTATTCAATAATTTTTGGATGTGAGTAGTAGTCATAGTCCATGAGTCATAACTTGGGTCAAGTAATGTTATGTGAATTTTATTTGGAGTGCTACCTGATCTAGAAGATTTCTAGTTACCAAATATTGTTAGTTTCTAAATTGAAATCCTAGTCCTTGTAAATAAATACAGACCGAGTTATAGCCCAAGTGGTGCTAAGAGGGCACTTAGGTGCTAGCGTGAGGTTTCAAGTTTGAGTCTATGGAGAGACATCGGCCTTCGTAGTAATCTAACTACTAACTCTCTAACATCTTACCTTGTGCAAAAAAATAAACAAATAAAATAAAAACTAATAAATAAATACATGCGTAATCTCAATGATTTAATGGAGAGTTGATATTATGTTTTGGGGTAAATTACACCGGTAGTCCCTATATTTTGCCTCTTGTGTCATTTTGGTCCCTACGCTTTCAATTGACTCAATTTTGACCTTTAATTTTAGATTTTACATCAATTTGGTCCAATTTGTAATGTCATTCGTGTTTTTTGACAAAAAAAATGATCATTAAATTGGTTAAAGTTAACTTACCGAGTTGAAAAAGTTTATAATTTTGCCTCTAAAGTATGATATATGTCACTTATATGCATAATTTTTGTTAAAAAATACTAATAATTATAAGTAACTGGATTGAATTGATACAAAATTATAAATTCAGGATCAAAATCAAGCCTATTGAGATTTCAGGGACCAAAATGACACAGACAAAAATACAAGAACTATCAGCGTAATTTATCCTATGTTTTGTGTGAGAATTGCTTAACTCTTGCGAGGGTAAGCTCTTGGTTTCTTTATTCTCAGACAGACTTCGATAACCCTTCTCAGATTGCTATTGACAGGGATAGAATATACCCTTTTTCATCCCCTAAACCTTGCCAATCAAGTTCAAATCATCCCTAACACTTTTCCCTACCCTTAGGTTTTTTAATCCACACTAGAAATACACTGCTATTCAAAGAATTTCAGCAACTAGTTTCAAATATCCTCAGTAAAATTCAGTTGCAGTCATCTACTACTAATCTCATTCATTCAAGATTACAATTTTTGAATCAATCACTTCTTCAAATAGCTGATACTCAGCAGGGAAAGTACACAACAAGCAAATTGAAATCAAAATTTAAAGAAACCATTAAGAACCCATCTTGGAGAAAAAGATAAGTCAGTGAAATATATGTGTCTCAGCATCCAAATTACATGATTGGTTGTTTAGATTACCTTAGTGGGTTACCTTGATTGAACCCAAAGCCAGAGTTAACAATCATTGCCACCCAAAAGGCAATAAAGAGAAGAAGAAAGGGAACATCTCTGCATTTTCTGTTGTGCCTTATGATCCCATCCAACTGCCCATCACTTCCATTGGCTGTAGGGTACCTCCCTATCACTGGCCCCAATGGAACCCTCATAATTCTCCCACTTTTTGCCTCTCCCACAACAAGAAGGTAAATAAAAAAATGAAACCTAGACTAGAGGAACAGAAAAATGAGTCTTGTACAGGGCTAAAATGGATATGTGATTGTGTAAATGCATGTAGAGAGAGAGAGAGAGAGAGAGAGAGAGCTTGAAGTGGGCTGCAGAGTGTGAAACAAGACAATGGGATTAGAAGATTCTTTTTGATTGCTGATTGTGGGACCTTGGAAACGGCGTTGTTTCAAAAGTTTAGTCCGTTAATTACGACGCTAACGAAGGATAGTCATATAAACGATGTCGTTTTACATTACAAATGCACTTAGGTCAAGTTTGACAACTCTAAAATGATCTTTCTTTTTATCTTTTTATCTTTTTTTCATCACATCACTTCTCTACTTTTCTGCACATCTTTTCGTAAAAAGACAAAAGTACACTTATTTAGGTCATTCTAAACAACCCCTTATTAAGGTTTGTTTCTAAAAATAGTGGTGACACAGACCACTAATTTAAGAGCAATTATTAATAAATTATCAAGTCAATTCATAATTTTTAATAATATAATAAATATATTTCAATTAATAATCCATATAATTTTATTATTTTATAAAAGAGTAATTACAAATTTTATTTTTTTTTGTTAATTCTGTTAAATAAAAAATTCTAATAAAAGAATATTTGTAATTTTTTAAACTACATAGAACAATCTGTAAATAAATCTCAAGTGGTATATTTGTAATTTAACCTTAAAAAAAGGCAAATTACATTGACCTATAATAAGTTACTTTGACAAAACTATATTTAGTTTTTTTTTTAAATATTAATTTACATAACACTTAAATCTCGTTTAGAAATATGTTATTTTAGTAATTTTTTTGACTTTTTGACTAAAATATGAGGTAAAAAATACTAATATGTTTGGAATGACGTTTTGATTTTTTTACGAAAAAATGTGTAAAAAGTAGAGAGAAAATAGAATTTTTGACTTTTTGGTATTGGTTATAGACTTTTTGATTTTTTTAGTAACGTTTTGACTTTTAAGTTAAAACTATTGCATGCCAAACGAGGTTTTAATCTCTTTTCATCAATAATTCATTTGTTTAATAGATGAAAAAAATGATTTTATCATAACTTTTACACTGAAATGCTAATTTTTTTTCTAATTTATTTTTATATCTTTACATTATATGAATTAGTTTTGATTATTTTAGTCTTATTAAAAGTGAGATCAATATAATTTTAGAGCCATGATAGAGACCCCTCCAATCACCACCCCCACCACCCCACACACACGTGATGGGTGGTGCTTAGAGGAGCAAGAAAAGAAAGAAAAAAAAAAAAATGTAACCAATGAAAGAGAGAGAGGGGGTGGGGGGAAAAGGGGGCCCGTAACATTTATGATAATTTTATTAATATTGTGAAGCAACTTAGGCTTTGTTTGGCTTAAGTTTCAAATCATAATTCTATCCTTATATTTGAATGCTATGTTTGAGTTAAATTTTTAAAAATTGATTCCAAGGCCAAATTTGAATACAAATTCCAATACATGTTTGGTAGAGTAGAGTTTTTAAATTTTGAATTTGCAGATTTGGTTATGAGTTATAAATTTTTGAATTAAGTTTTGAAAACTCTTTTTAAAACTCATAATCAAATAACTTTTCTCATTTTAAAACCTATTTAAAAAATTTAAAATTCTATTCAAAACTCTTTTTAAAATGCATAATCAAACAAATTTTCTCTTTTTAAATCATGATTTAATAATTCACAAATTCAAAATATAATTTTATTATCAAATTATAATTCTAAAATTAAATCAAATGCTACTTTATATTTTCCCAAACAGCCAATATAATTTATCCAAAAAAAAAAAACCATCAAACCATCCAATTGTATAAAGTATAAACCCAAACCAACCCGTGAGTTTACCATCTCACCAACAAACTCTCAACCGGTGTTTGGGAAGAAAAAAAATAGCCTATTTTAGGTTAAAAATTACAAAAAAACAAAATAGGCTAATATAGTTAATAAGACAAAATATCACATCAAATCCATAATCATTTCACTTTTTCTCTCACAAACATCACATCCAATCACAAAAAAATCCAATCATCTTCCCAAACACAAAAATTTTAACCTACTAAAACAGCTAAAAATTAAAATAACCTATTAAAATAGCCACTTCCCAAACGAGGCCTATGTATTTAATCACACAATCTATTCCTAGCCCTAATAATACCATTCACTCTGTTTAGTTTTAATTTTTAAAATTCACTTTTCAGAGAATTTTACTTTTTCATTTTTCGTATTTTTTTTGATTTCACTAAATTTTTTTAATATTTTATGTAATTTTTTAATTTTTAGACACACCTAATATATAAACACACTTAAAAAGTATAATATTTGTGTAAAAAACTTTAAAAAATCCATTAGATACCAACAAAAAAAAATTCAGTACATTTTTCTTATTTTTGTGTATTTTTGATTCGTTTTCTCAGAGAAAGCCAATATAATTTATCCAAAAAAAAAAAACCATCAAACCATCCAATTGTATAAAGTATAAACCCAAACCAACCCGTGAGTTTACCATCTCACCAACAAACTCTCAACCGGTGTTTGGGAAGAAAAAAAATAGCCTATTTTAGGCTAAAAATTACAAAAAGACAAAATAGGCTAATATAGTTAATAGGACAAAATATCACATCAAACCCATAATCATTTCACTTTTTCTCTCACAAACATCACATCCAACCACAAAAAAATCCAATCATCTTCCCAAACACAAAAATTTTAACCTACAAAAATAGCTAAAAATTAAAATAACCTACTAAAATAGCCACTTCCCAAACGAGGCCTATGTATTTACTCACACAATCTATTCCTAGCCCTAATAATTCCATTCACTCTATTTAGTTTTAATTTTTAAAATTCACTTTTCAAAAAAATTTATTTTTTTATTTTCAATAGTTTATTTTTTATTTTCATTGATTTTTTTAATATTATATGTAATTTTTAAAATTTTTAGGCACATCTAAGATAAATACACTTAAAATGTATAATATTTATAAAAAAAAATCTTTAAAAAATTTACTAAATATCAAAAATACAAAAATTTAATAAATTTTTCATATTTTTATGTATTTATTAATTTTTTAAAATATTTTTTTACAAATATTTTACTATTTAAATACATCTAAGTAAGGTGCATCTAAAAAACTAAAAAAAAATTATTTAAAATTTTAAAAATATTCACTAAAAACATGAAAAACAAAAAACTTAATTTTAAGAAAACTGAATTAAAAAAACTGAAACCAAACACACTGATTAATTTCATGGCGCTCATCCTCATTTTCATTGCATATATTTTCTTTTAATTTGATCATTTTGGGTATTAATATGTAAAATATGATTTTGAATAACATCACATATATTTTATTAATTTATGAGTTTTGTATCAAGATTTTGAATAAATTATAACTTTTTTGTTTATATTTAAAATTATAAAAAGTAAATTTGTATGTTTTTTGATGTTCTTTTTTGGTTTGAATTTTTTTTTGTTTTTGATGTGATGATCATATGGTGGTAATATTTGTTTATTATTATGAAAATATTACAGAATGAATGAATGTCAAATTAATATAGGATGCGACAATTAATATTCAATTTTTTTTAATAAAATCAATTCAATTTTTATAAGCATTTACACATGCTTAGTTGTGGCTTTTAAAAGTGTCAATGAAAAGAATACTAAAGTGGCATTTTGTAGTAGTGGTAGTAGCTTTGCAAAGTGTCATTAGAATAAGTTCCAATGACACTTATATCCATTTAATGTGACAAATGATTGGATTTAGTGGCATTTATGAAGTTGTTGAAAATATCAATTGTGGCATAACAAGCGCCATTAACAATTCATACAGTGACATTTTTTAGATTGTACGTTTTCTTTAATGGCACTTGATAGCGTCACGAATAGTGTCTACCATGATATCAAAGTGTCACTGAAAGTCTTTAGCCTTGATGGTGTAATGGCACTTACAAATTTCACTGAAGTGCCACTAAGTCTTTTTTTAATGGCACTTGATAGTGTCACAAATATTGTCTATCATGACATCAAAGTGTCATTGAAAGTCTTTAGCACCCATGACATCAAACTGGCGACCAAAACAAATTTAGTCGCCAAAGGTTCAAATTTTGGCTACCATTTTAATTTAGTCAACATACATTGTTTTTTGGCAACTAAAAAAAAATTTAGTCGCGAAATATATAGTTATAGGCGACTAAAAAACAATTAGTCGCCAAAAGTTAATATTTTACACTACTAATTCTAAGTTTAGTCGCAGAACAAGCTGATTTGCCAACAAGAATATAGTTTAGTCGCCAAAAGATACTTTTGGCTACCAATATATTAGTCGCTAATACATAATTTTTTGGTTGCAAAACTGGTTGTCGTTATTCAATACTATTTGGCGACTAAAATGTGAAATAGTCGCTAAAAGTTGAAATTTTGTTTTTTAAAGGGAAACCAATATAATTTGGCGCCCGATATCTGTCTCTCACACACACTCACACGATACATACTGTCTCAAACAAATTTCTTTCTCTTTCGACATTACCAAGCCTCACCCCGTTCACCACCATCATTGGCCACCGGCGAGAGAGACCGTCGCACATCGCCACCGCCAGCTGTAAAGCACCAGGCCACTTAATCACAGGTATGTTTCTCTCGCTCTGTCGCTCTTGGTCTCTATCCCTCTCTGTCGCTCTCAGTCTCTATCTCTATCTGTCGATGGAGCGCTCTTTCTTTCTCTCTGTGCATCTCGGTCTCTCTCTCTCTCTCTCGGTCTCTATCCCTCTTTGTCGCTCTCAGTCTTTATCTCTATTTGTCGATGGGGCTCTCGTTCCCTCTCTGTGCATCTAGGTCTCCCTCTCTCTCTCTCTCTCTCTCTCTCTCTCTCTCTCTCTCTCCTCTCTCTCTCTCTCTCTCTCTATCCCTTCCTCTATTTCCCCATTTCTTACACTTGCCCTAGGGTTTTATATGATTTTTGTTGTTTAATTTGAGTTAATGTTGTGTTGATTTCCCACACTTGGTATAGGGTTTGTGTTGATTTTTACACAAAAATCCCAAATTCAAGTTGGATTGAGCAAGAATTTGCCACTTTCGGGCCAGATAA